GACATGAATCAGCCATGGATTTACATGTGTTCCCCATCCTGAACCCCCCTCCTACCCGCCTCCCCACCCCATCCCTCTGGGTCTTCCCAGTGCACCAGCCCCAAGCACTTGTCTCATGCATTCAACCTGGGCTGGTGATCTGTTTCACCCTTGATAATATACATGTTCCAATGCTGTTCTCTCGAAACATCCCACCCTCGCCTTCTCCCACAGAGTCCAAAAGTCTGTTCTGTACATCTGTGTCTCTTTTTCTGTTTTGCACATAGGGTTATCATTGCCATCTTTCTAAATTACATATATATGTGTTAGTATACTATATTGGTCTTTGTCTTTCTGGCTTACTTCACTCTGTATAATGGGCTCCAGTTTCATCCATCTCATTAGGACTGATTCAAATGAATTCTTTTTAATGGCTGAGTAATATTCCATGGTGTATATGTACCACAGCTTCCTTATCCATTCGTCTGCTGATGGACATCTAGGTTGCTTCCATGTCCTGGCTATTATAAACAGTGCTGCGATGAACATTGGGGTGCACGTGTCTCTTTCAGATCTGGTTTCCTCAGAGTGTATGCCCAGAAGTGGGATTGCTGGGTCATATGCATTTCTTTTTCTTGGGGATGGCCTTGATCACCACCTCCTGTACAATGTCATGAAGTTCTGTCCATAGTTCTTCAGGTACTCTATCAGATCTAATTCCTTGAATCTATTTGTCACTTTCACTGTATAATCATAAGGGATTTGATTTAGGTCATACCTGAATGGTCTAGTGGTTTTCCCTACTTTCTTCAATTTAAGTCTGAATTTGGCAATAAGGAATTCATGATCTGAGCCACAGTCAGCTCCCAGTCTTGTTTTTGCTGACTGTATAGAGGTTCTCCATCTTTGGCTACAAAGAATATAATCTGTCTGATCACCATCACCATCTGGTGATGTCCATGGGTAGAGTCATCTCTTGTATTGTTGGAAGAGAGTGTTTGCTATGACCAGTGTGTTCTTTTGGCAAAACTCTGCTACCTAATGATAAAAAAAAATGGAGAAGCCTACATCTGTTTGTAATTGTGGTTGCCCAGACACAGATTCTCTCTTGAAGGAATCATAAGAAGCTGATAACATTGGTTGCCTTTGGGAAAGAACCTGGGAACCTAGGACAGGGAAAAAGGAAGACTTGATAATATCTAACTTTTGATACCTTCTGAATTTTGAATAATGTAAATGTTTTATCGTTAACTATTTTAAAAGTAAATTTAAATTTCCAACATTACAGAAAATGTCAAATGTACAGAAAAATTGAAGGAATTCTACTGAACACCATGTCCCCACTGCAGAGAAATACTCTTAACATTTTGCTGGACTAGCATTATCTCATAATATTAAATCTTTTAAATAAAAATTAATCAATCTTAGGGCTCTAAGGAAGTCACTTTGCTTATTAGTCTTGATTTTCTCTCTGTAAAATGAGATGCACGGAGTAGTATCTTTTTCACTATACCAGGGCTAATCTAGTGGTAGAGCTGATGACCATCATGTCCATAAGGCATAAGCACCTGCTGGGAGGAGGGGGAAGTTTTAAGGAATTCCCTCTTCCTGAGAACAGCACTCTGTCACATATGAAATTAGATGGGGCCATGTGACTAGCTTTGGCCAATGAAATGTAATAGGAAGTGTGGTGTGCCCTTCTACCAGAAAGAATTTAAGAGCCGATGTGGTGTTCACCACGTCTATGTTCACCTGATATACTACCCAGTCAGAGACCATATTCTAGATGGTTTAGCCACAGACTTCTGAAATCTCTCTCAGTCTGGATCACTGAGTTACTACAAGGAGATCAGTTGTCCTAGAAATTCTTCTAGACCCTCAGTGGTCTAGACGACTTTGGATCGAATTCCATCTGAAGTATACAGAGATCAAAAATATATGCTAAGGATAAACTATGCATGATTCACTGAATTTTGCATTTGTGAACACTTCTTTTGCTCTTCATTCATTCATTCATTCATTCATTGAAAGCAACATTGACAGAGTGCTAAACATATGTCATGTTCTGGGCTGGATCCCAGGGATATAGCAATGTATATGATACAATGACATCACAATCTAATTTGGGCAGCAAACATTTGGATAACAACAAAATTTGGGTAACAATAATAATAACAATGATAAGAAAAGAATAGTTGATACTTAATAAGCATTTTCATTGTGCCAGGCACTGTGCTAAGCAATTTACATGCAGTATCTTAGTTCTAACAACAACCCTATGAAGAAGTATATTAGTCAGTGCTCCTGTTATTTACTGCTGTATAATAAGCTACACCAAATCACAGTGGCTTAAAAGAGCAATCATTTTATCATCACTCCAAATACTGTAATCTGAATAGGACTAGACTGGGTGATTTATCTGGTCTTGCCTGTGATCACTTATGTGGCTACATTCAGCTGGAAGGTTGACAGGGCACTGGACTCAGCTATGACACCAGAAAACTGAGCTTCTATCTCTCTACGTGGCATCTGGATGTCTTCCCTTCATGTGGCATCTCCACATGGTCTGTCCAGAACTTACAGAGCCGCTCAGGCCTTCCAAGAGGACAGAAGCTGTCAAGCCTTCTTCAGGCTTAGGCCCAGAATAGGCACAGCATCACATCCATCTCATTCCATTGATCGATCACTTGCAAGCCCCGCCCATAGTCAATAGGTGTTGACAACTCAGGGGCATGAATACTAAAAAGCATGGTTCATCAAGAACCACCAACATAATAGACTGCCATAGAATTCTTTTTGGTACAAGGGAAATAAACTTGACTCATGCTAGTTTAAGTTTAAGAGGAAAAGGGTGGGGAAGGATTTGTTGGCTTTCGTAATTAGAAACCCAGGAGTTCACTGTCTTCAGGAATGGTTGGATCAAGAGACTTGTATGATGTAATCAATGTTTCATCTTCCTCTCCATTTCTTAGATTCTTCCTATGTGATGGGTAAGATAGTTGTCCAGCCCTCTAGAACCACATTTTACTGCATAGCAACCCCTGAGTGATCAGACAATCTCTTATTTTCTTACCGAAAGTTCCAGATGGGACTGGATTAGCTTGTTTGGAGCCACATGCCTACTTTCAAGCCAATTACTGTGAGTAGGAGATGGAGCCCTCCTTTTGTCCAGGTCTGGAACACCTACCACCACTGCAGCCCCATAAAACCACATAGAATGGATTCTTTATTTTAAAATAGAGATGAAGAAAACAGGAAAGATTGGCTCTGTTATCAGACATGTGTCAGGTGATGCTAGGAAGACAGGTGGTACAAGCATCCTCATTTTACAGGTGAAGAATCTGATGCTCAAAAATAGAGAAGGCATTTGCTCAAGCTTGCCCAAGTTCACAAAGCTAGGAGATGCTACAGCCAAGACAGAAAACTGGGTCTCATGGATGCCAAAGCTCCTGTACTTGACCAAATTATACAGTAGTGTTTGCAAACAAATGACGATGGGACCATGTGACGTGAGCAATGGTAAAGAAGGGGCCATGGTGCAGAGACAATGGGGCAGAGCTATTTGCTGGGCAGTGATGGGGTGATGAGATGAGTCAGGAAGGACTCCCCAGAGGAGGTGGTGCTTAAGCTGGGTCGTTAGGGAGGGTCACTCCAGGACAAGTTATCAGCATGTTCAAAGGTGCCTTGGGAACTTGCAAGATTTTGAAAGAGTGGAGAAAAACAGTGATTTCCTAGCTGAGGGATAAGGATCTCTGGGTTCAGGGATTTAGTATAAGTCTGAGAATTTATCTCTGAATCCAGCCTGGTTTATAAACTGAAAAAGTAATATAGCACATATCACAATTCATCAAATATATTTTAAAGTATTATGGAATTCAGGGTAGCTCGTTGCTGGTAGATGTTTTCTAAATCGATAGATACTAAAAGTAGAACTATTACCATGCTCGGTTCAAGAATTATTTTGATATTATAAAGGAGGCTTCATACTGAAAAAGACAGAGATATTGATCCTCAAGTGAATGTTGCAAAGGAGCCACTTCTAAAAATGAGGCAGAGGAGGGCATTGGGACCTGCTCAAGGGGTTTCACTGCTATCCCAAAGATGGGGGTGAGGGGTGGGCTGGAGGGTTTTAGGTAATAGGGAGGTAGGTTCCAGAAGGTAGGTGTGAAGAGTGGTTGAAGGGGCTGATTCTGCAGATGATGTGCACATCAGAGACTGCTGCTAGTGAGTGTTAGGAGATTACAGAATGAAGAGCACAGGGTCTGGAGCCAGACTGCCTGGGTTCAAATCCCAGCTCTCTTACTTATCTGCTGTGTGACTTTAGGCAAGATACTTAGCCTCTCTGATGCCTTATTTTTCCTGTATTTTTTTACTGTAAAATGGAAATAATGATAGTTTTAGAGGATTGCAGTTGTTCAGTAGCTAAGTCATGTCCGACTCTCCGCGACCCCATGGACTACAGCATGCCAGGTTTCCCTGTCCTTTAATATCTCCCGGAGTTTGCTCCAACTAATTTAGATGATAGATGAGTTGAAAAATGCAAAATGGCTGGAATTATGCCCAGGGTTAACACCATGTAGGAATATTATCACCTCTTACTTGTGTATATATCCATATGGCTATTTACTGTGATGGTCCAAGAAAGACTTTAACAGCAGCTTGAACTGTAGGGCATAGAGAGCTGATGAAGAAATGCTTGGAGGCATATATACATATTTACATGCATGTACAAAGTTACATGTATCCACATCTATTTCAAGTACCATAGTTGATATATTAATATATTAATCTGTATTGTAACTGCATCCTCTTTAAGGGCAGAAGTATTTTCCTAGGTGTTTTGCTCAGAGAATAACTGTTAGGGACCCACTGACTGATTTCACATCATGAAGAGAAAGGTTCTCAGGTCTGTCCCATCTAATGCAGATAAGGTGGACCTAAAGAAAGACCCAGAAGACTCCTTTCTTCAGCCCAGGATGGGTGGTCAGTCCATGGACCTCTGAAGGAATCTCAGGAAACAGATGAGGATGGAACCAGACTGGGATCTTGTTTCTTCAGAGCTTGAGAGTCACGGAGAACTGGGATCAGACCAGGAAGGTGTCCATGGAAGAAGGGACCATGCTTCAGAGCAGCGTTGGCTCCTGGGACATCTCTGCCTTTCTGCACTGCCCACTCAGCACTTCCTGGGCTCAGAGGGGACGGGGAGTCCAACCACTGCCTTTGCAGCTCACACAATTTCCTTCATGGGAACAGGGGCCACACATTTCCTCCACTTTTCAGAGAAGATAGAAGTCTGGAGAGGTAAGTGGTTCCAATATAGTGTAAGAGAGAAGAGAGAGGAACAGCCCTGCTGAGCCTGTGTGAAACCCCACTCTGGATGGGAGCTTTAACGTAGCATCTTAGACAGGAATATGCTGAAGTGGGTAGATTGTGCCCATTTGACATATAGAAAAACTGAGCTCAAGTGGATAGAGTACCTCCTTGAGTTCCCAGGTGGTCTAGAATTTGCAGAACATTTCCTTCCATTGAGTAAGGAGGGGAGTGAGAGGAGGGAATTTAGGGACCAGCCCATGTTTTTGATTCATCCTACTGATGTTTCTTTATCACTTGTGGATCTAAAATTTCAACTGCGCTCTTGCCCTGGAGTTTAGAGTCTTTAGGGTACTGCTTGCTACAGCCTACTCAGCCTGGAGAGTGGGACCCCCGTCTCCCTCCTTGCTCCAAAGTCACTCAACACTGGGACTTGACTTTCACGTGTCCTGGAGGATAGTCCAGGTCATGCTTCTCAACCCTCCTCACCCCACAAAAGTGAGAGGCCTTAGCCCACACTTGTGGTCTGAGGGAATTCAAGTGGGGGGTTCACTTCCTGCCTCTGGTCCCTTACCTTCTCACCTCTCAGCCTGCAAGACCAGGCCCCAGCTGTGACAACAAGAATGGAACTCCCCTAAAACTCTAATTCAAAAAGATACATTCACCCTAATGTTCATAGCAGCACTATTTATAATAGCCAAGACATGGAAGCAATCTAAATATCCAACGACAAATAAATAGATAAAGATGCGATATATAAATATATATGTGTATATATATATATATGATGGACTATTACTCAGCCATAAAAAGAGTGAAATAATGCCATTTGCAGCAACATGGATTATCATACTAAGTGAAGTAAGTCCAAGAGCGACAAATGTCATATGATATCACTTATATGTGGAATTTAACATATGATACAAATGAACTTATTTACCAAACAAACATACTGTCAGAGAAAACAAATTTATGGTTACTAAAGTGGGAAAAGATGGGGGATGGATAAACTAGGAGCTTGGGATTAGCAGATAAAAACTATTGGACATAAAATAAAGAACAATGTCCTACTGTAAAGTATAGGGAACTATATTCAAAATCTTGTAATAAGCTACAATGGAGAAGAATATGCAAAAGAATCTATACAGATATACACACATATATGTAAAACTTAGCTTTGCCAGACACCAGAAACTAATACAACATTGTAAATCAACTTTTACTTCAATTTTAAAAAGGTGAAAAAAGAAGAACAGAAGTGTCCTTTCTTGTGTCTGTGCTAGGTCGCTTCAGACATTTCTGACTCTTTGTGACCCCATGGGCTACAGCCTGCCAAGCTCCTCTGTCCATGGGATTCTCCAGGCAAGAATACTAGAGTGGGTTGCCCTGCCCTCCTCCAGGAGACATTCTCAACCCAGGGATCAAACCCATGTCTCTTACATCTCCTGTATTGGCAAACACTGAACCACCTGGGAGACCGAACTCCTTCCTTGTTATTGTTGTTCAGTTGCCAAGTTGTCTCCTTTCTTACTTGTCTGCAAATCATTTTAAGAATTTGGGTAGAAGTTTGGAGTTCCTGAAAGCTCACTGACTGAAGAATCTGTTCAGAACCCAGCAAACAGCTGAGTACATTTCTATTTCTGTGCATGACATCATTCTCCAATTTAGCAGGGATACTACAAAAGCAAGGCATCTGGTGGCACATCTGCGCATGTGCAGCTATTGAGCACACGCTCCATTCCTATGACCACTGTCTGCATCAGGTCTTCCCATGTCGTTGTTCAGTTGCTCAGTCGTGTCTGACTCTGCGACCTCATGGACTGCAGCATGCCAGGCTTCCCTGTCCTTCACTATCACCCAGAGTTTGCTCAAAACTTATGCCCATTAAGTTGGTGATGCCATCCAAGTATCTCATCCCCTGTCATCCCCTTCTCCTCCTGCCTTCAATCTTTCCCAGCATCGGGGTATTTTCCAATGAGTCAACTGTTTGCATCAGGTGGCCCAAGTACTGGAACTTCAGTTTCAGCATCAGTCCTTCCAACGAATAATCAGGACTGATTTCCTTTAGGATTGACTGATTTGATCTCCTTGCTGCCTAAGGGACTCTCAACAGTCTTCTCCAACACCACAGTTTGAAAGCATCATTTCTTCGGTGCTCAGCCTTCTTTATGGTTCAACTCTCACATCTGAAAATGACTACTGGAAGGACCATAGCTTTGACTATACAGACCTTTCCATGGGTGTGTATTTCACCCTCACCACACTCCAGGGAAGTCCTCACATGAATCCCCACTTACACAACCAGAAGTGGAGGCTCAGAGAGGGTGACTCTCTGGCTGCATCACACAGGATGAGCTGGCAATCCAAGCTAATACTGTCCTTTCCTGGCCCTAGGCGATGGCAGCAGACATCACTCTTCCCAGATACTTACCCCCTCCCTGCCCCACCTCACTCAGCTCACCCCCCTTGCACCATTGCAGCCCTGCCCCATTGACATCAGGCTACCCATTCTGCTGTTCACCTGCTCAGAGAGACAGTTTGAAAATATTCAGAATGGACTGAAACTAAGGGAAAATCAAAAGTAAATAACCATAATGGAAAAGGAGCTGGAGAAGAAGAAGAAGATAAAGATCTCTCAGGGAATAAGATTATATAATCAAGGTGCCTTGACACAGCCCTATAGTGGAACTCTCATCTTCATTCTCCAGATGTGAAACTGATGTTCCTAAAGGCTAAGCAATTTGCCCCAAGGTCACCCAGCTAATAAGTCGGCCAAGCCATGCTTTGAAACCAGGTCGATGTGGCATCAAGGTCTACGTGGTTTTCTTTCCACTCTGCCTCTGAAAGGTCCCTGAAAGGTCTATGAGCCCAGCAGGCTCATAGAGAGGGTGGGGCCAGACAAGTCAGTGGATAATCGCGCCACAGCAACTGTCCTGGTAAATGCAGGGAACATGAGCATGGCGTGCAATCGGGGGTGGGGAGCAATCAAAGAGGGCTTCAGGAAAGAGCTGACACCTGAATTAAGTCATGAGGGATGAGCAACTGTTGTCATGGGTCTGCAGGAGGGAGAGGGCAAAAAAGATCCAGAAAGGGAGCACGCTGTCACTCCTGGTCACTCCTACACGCTACTACTGTCAAGGTGGACGAGGAAATCCTTCAAGGCAAAGGGAAGGCAGTGTCTCCCATCTGTCTCCTGTCTGCTGAGTGTCACCCACCACGACTACGCCCATGAAAACATCTGCTATGTGATATTTTGTCATCTGCAAGATTCACTAACAATCTTGGGGAAAAAAAATGTTTTTAACTCAGGTGACATTCACAGAACAGAAAGCTACATTTTGAAGTAAAGCATTCAGTGGCATTTTTTCTCATTAGGAGGAAAACAAAGTTCAATATTGATAAGAAGCAATTAACATCTCTTTAAATAAGTGAAAGCAAATTCAGTAGATAATAATAAATACAAAATATAATGTAGTTTTCAGTTACATTATTATTATACATGTATTATTATACATTATTATGTTCCTCTTTAAATATTTAACCTGTAATAAAAGACAGTGTTCTTTGGATGAATACTATGCTTCAGTGGCATTTAATGTCTTCACAGTATTGTGGGACCATCATCTCTGTCTAGTTCCCAAACCTCTTCATCACCCATAATAATAATAATACCCTTTACTCATTAAGCAGTCACTCTCTGGTCTCTGCCAGCCCCTGACCACCACCAACCCACTTTCTGCACCTATGAATTTACCTATTCTGGATACTTCCTGTAAACAGAATCATACAGTATGTGGATGATTTTTGTGCCTGGCTTCTTTCACTGAGTATGTTTTCAGTTTCATTTGATAGTTCACGCCTTTTCCATCTAAGGAGCAGAGAACAGAGCACGGACCATTGTCTAAATATGACCCAGCATCTCCTGCCCGCGGCTCACACCTCTGCCTCTACCCTGTTCTTCCTCTTCCCTTTGGCATGTCCTACCCTCTTTCAGGACCCAGAAGGCGGTCCAGAGTCTGAGTGTGAGTCCTCTCCCTGCCATGTCCCTCAACATGTTCCATTCCCTCTGAGCCTCAGGCTTCCCATCTGTAAAACGAGATGGTTGACACAATATTTTAGTGCAACTAAACTGTATACTTGGTTCAACTGAACTGTATACTTGGAAGTGATTAAGATGGTAGATTTTGTTGTGCATTTTTATCACAAATTTTCAAAAAGCAATGCAAGGAAAAACCTTTAAAATGAGATCGATAAACTCATCTCTAAAGACCTGTCAATCCAATAGAACTATAAGGCCAAGGAGTCATGATTGAGAGTTGTGGAAAAAAAGTCTGGCCAAGGAGACAAAGGAAAGGAATGGTTTCTCTTGTCTCTTTCAAAAGAAAGAGAGACAGAAGGAGGGAAAGAGGAGGGAAGATGGAGATGGTGAGCGAGTGAGAAGAGAGCCGGAGGGAGACAGTGAGGAGGAGAGACAGTGGGGAGAAGGGAGGAGGAGGGAGGGAGGAGGCTCTACAGGGAGAGTCGGGGAGGGAAGAGGGAGGCACGGCCTGCAGTCCTAGCCAGTCCTTCTCTACCTTCCTTTGTCAATATGTTTATTTCCTGATTCTCAGTCACTGTCTCCAAGCCTCAGTCCTATTGCCCAACACCATCTGTGGATTAGTCTACAGTCATGAGTGAGACAGGAAGCACTGGGTTTTCAAAGAGATTCAGCTTCTGTGATTTATGACATTTTTTCAATAGAATTCAACCCAGAATCAGAACGAAAGCAATACAGAGGTGATAAGAAAAAGTGATGGCTCAACCATGCCCTTAAAACACATCGGTTGTATCACCGAGGGCTTTCCCACAAAGGGCAACATCAGGCCTCCCTCCACTGGCTGAAGAGACACTAAAACATATAGGTCCAAACATTCCAGATTTGCTCAGTCTGATTTCCAGTATCCAGTTTCCAGTCTCCCAAAGCATCCTCTCCTATCAGAACATGAGCTGCA